CCAGCTACATGGACCTGTTTTCAAACTGCCCAGGAGTGAAAGATGGCTTTTCCACTTTTAAATGGTTCAAAAGAAAGTGAAGAGAAGTGTAATGTTTTATGATACATGAAAACAATATGAAATTGAAATTTCTGTTCCTGTAAAGAAAGGTATAGGAGCACTGGTGGCACAGTGGTTAAGTGCTCAGCTGCTATCTAAAAGGTCGGTGTTGGAACCCACTAGCCACTATGAGGGAGAAAGATGAAGCAGTTTGCTTCAGTGAGGATTGACAGTCTTGGAGACCCTGTGGGCAGTTCCACTGTGTCCTCTAGGGGCGCTGTGAGTCGGAATCAACTCCACGGCAGTGGGCGTGGTTTGGGTTTTGCTTCCATGAAGATTGATAGCCTTGGAGACCCTGTGGGCAGTTCCACTCTGTCCTCTGGGGGCGCTGTGGGTCAGAATGGACTCCACGGCAGTGGGCGTGGTTTGGGCTTAGCTTCTGTGAAGACTGACAGCCTTGGAGACCCTGTGGGCAGTTCCACTCTGTCCTCTAGGGGCGCTGTGGGTAGGAATGGACTCCAGGCAGTGGATGTGGTTTGGGCTTTGCTTCTGTAAAGATTGACAGCCTTGGAAACCTTGTGGTGCAGTTCCACTCTGTCCTCTAGGGGCGCTGTAGGTCGGAATCAACTCCACAGCAGTGGTTATGGTTTGGGCTTTGCTTCCATGTGATTGACAGCCCTGGAGACCCTGTGGGCAGTTCCACTCTGTCCTCTAGGGGCGCTGTGCGTCAGAATGGACTACACGGCACTGAGTATAAAGAAAGTTTTATTAAAACACATCTGTGTTCATTCCTTCCCATGTTGTTGAAGTGTCAGAACAATGGCAACATAATACAACAGAGATATTTCAGAGCCTGAGATACCTGCTCTCTGGTCCCTTGGAAGAAGCTTTGCTAACCCTGGTTTAACAACCAGAAGGGAGGAAGGAGGGGCTCGTCCAACATAACCATTACTGCCCTCAGGGTGTGCTTCCTTCCAGCCTTTTGTTGAGGGGTGGTTCTGTTTGTTTTCTGGATTGAGATCCTCTGGTCCCCACTATGTGCTCTTGGGACGAGGCTTCCTTCAGGACAGGGCTGGGGTCAGAGTGGCCCCAGAGTCCTACATGCATTAGGGACTCGGAGAAGAGTGTGGCCCTGGGGGAGGGCTCAGGGCGCTCATTCAGACCCTGTGGGTGCCCAGATGTTGGCCCCAGTCCTGCCCACCCAGCTCCAGGCCGGCTCTGGTGTCTCTGGCCTCTGTGCCTTTGCCCCTGCTGTTCCCTCCCCGACCGTGCCTGGTGCACTTGCCTTAGTCTTTCTAGAACCTTCCCCCTCACCCTCTGCGCCCTGCCCTCTGTGCTGGCCTCATCTGTCTAATAATGCCAGGCCTGGCGCTGGACGTGGTGCGGAGGTGGTGTGCCGTGTGTGGTGACTGGGTCTGGGTGGATGTTGGCAGGGTGGTGCCACACTGGATGCGTCCACAACTCAAGGATGTCCTTTACCTCTGCTGAGAAGGCTGCCCCTCGGCCTGGCCTTTGGCCTGGGCTGTCCTTGCACATATGTGTGCATGTGTGCGTGTGTGCGTGCATGCGTGCGCCTGTGCTGCTGGGAGGAAGGGGGAGTGGTCCCGAACTGCCCGGGCGGGGCTCCAGGGACTGTAGTCCTTGCTGGGACAGTTTCACTTTCCTTGGCAGCTGGCAATTCCACTGGGCAGGCGATTTGTCTAAACAGCCCGAAAGGAAACTATTTGGCCAAATGATTGGTTTCTAAACAGTTTACTTCCTGGTGTTTAAACAGACTCCTAATCAGGCTTTCCGGCTGGTCCCGGAGAGGGGGCTGACCTCTGTCTCACTGCCCTGCTGTCCCCTGCACCCTGCCCACCCCAGGCCCTCAGGCCACACCTAGGGCTGCCCTCAGACCTGGCTGCAGTTGAGGCTTCTCAAGGGCAGAGTGTGGGCAAGCCCATCTCCCCGAGGCCTGGCCCTGGGTAGAGGCCCCAGGAAGTGGCCTGCATGCTGGCCCCAGTGGCCTGGTCTCTGTTTTTCTCCACAAAGCCCTGCTGCCCGGGGGTGTCATGGAGCGGCCCTGCAGGTTTACCTCAGCGGTTAATGAATGACAACCTCAGCCACCAGGGCTGCCTTCCAGGGGTTGCTAAGGACGAGGGGCCTAGTGGACAAGGGTCTGGGAGACTGCAGTGGCCTAGTTACTAGAGGCATGGGGCATGTTTGGGACCCTGCTGGCATCTTCCATGAGGTGACAGGCACATGCATCTCAGAGGCTCTTGGAGCTGGAGGCCAGACCCCCCTTCCCCCAGCTCTGTGTGTCCCTTTTAACCCTACTTTCCTTCACGGCACCAATTACAGTGTTTGGTATCTAATCATTGCTGGCTTTGCTCACTTAGGTCCCTGCCCTAGACCCCAGGGGCCCCAGGAGCACAGATTCTGTTCGCCGCCCCCCCCCCAACATCTGGTACAGGGCCTGCCCTGAAGTAAGGGACCCACAGAGAGACGGGTGGGCTGACCCGGCCAGCAGGCGGTAGGTGAGACACATGCATCTTGCAACTGCAGGGGTCGAGGTGTTTGCAGAATCTAATTTTGCATTTCCCACTGCTGCTCTGTGCCCCTGGGCTGGGCACTTGACCTCTGTGTGTCAGGCTCTTCATCAGTCGAGCTAGACATGCTAGACCTCAGGGGGTGGAGTGAGGATTGGGTTATTCGGGTGGGTGCTCTGAGGATTATGGGAGTGGAGACAGGACAGAACGGGCTCCAGTTGCTTTGGGACCCAGCAGTCACCCCTTGGGGACTGGAATTCTCTGCAGGATTATGGTGGGAATGCTGTGTGAGTGCCATTGGGACTTGATGCACACAGTGGGGCTGGCCCTGGGCTTGGCTTGCAAACCCGACAGCCTCTGTGGAAAGTCTCCCCTTGGTGGGAGATCTTCCTGGCCACGCCCTGGGGGCTTCCCTGTGCTTCCCCAGGGCTGTGGACTAAGCTGGAGCCCTTCGTGGGGTTCAGTTTATAGCCTCCTCAGTGCCTGAGGCAGGCAGACTCAGACACCAACAGATCTGACAGACTGTCACCTACAGATGAGGAAGCCTGCACAGGGAGGGTCAGCCAGGGACCTGCTCGGGGCACCCAGGGGGGAGAACCAGGTTTCTGCCTTGAGTTCTCATCCTTGGAGGCAGTGCTGCCCTGCCCGCCTTGCTCAGCACCTGCTCTGGGTGTGGGCCGTGAAGGCGGTGCCGCAGAGAGGAACACGGTGTGGGGGACTCAGCCCATTCACTGCGGTAGAGAAGGCCGGGAGGACATCCTGGAGGAGGTATCAGGTGACCCGCACCTTGAAGGATGGGTTGGGTGTCAGCAGAGCATCGCGGAGGGGACCCAGAGGGAGCGCACCCTTTGAAATTCAGGATCCCTCCTGGGCCAAGTCAGCATTTGCCTGAGCCCTTCTAACTTAGTATGGCTTGGCGTCACAGAGGTCTCCGTGTGGCCAGGCACTTGGGACGCCTTCCAAGTGCAGTTTCCACACCTGCCTGCCTCAGTTTCCCCTGTCCTGGGAGTGTGAAGGCATTGCTGTCGTGTGTGTGCCCTCTAGTGGTGGGATTGGATATGAACTCAGGCTTGGAGCAGGAACAGTCCAACACTTACTTAAAATGCAGGGCTCCCACCGTTGGCAGGAAGCGGGCACCTGGTGCGGGAGGCCGTCTGTTGTCCAAGGGCCCAGCTCTGTTGGCCACTGCAGAGACCAGGACTGGGGCCCCGCGTGAAGGAGGCCTGTCCCTGCAGCTGTGACCTCAGGTGGCCCGGGGGTCTCTGTGGGCCGGGACCTGTGAGTGTCTGAGGAGTGGGTAAAGAGCTATGTCGGTTGACATGGTTCTAGCCCTGCCCTGGGAGCTGGGTAATGAGGAAGGCTGGGGCACCTCCTCCCAGCGTGCCCACCCTGTTGGGGAAATGCTTCCTGTGAGTGAAGGAGTTGGCTTTGTGACATGTGCAGTGATTGGCATGAAGTGGCCTCGTGAGAGAGAGCTTCACGGAAAGGGGGCATCTGAGCTGAGCCACGAAGGCAAGAAACTGAAGCAGGGCTTCAAAGTGGTTCAGCCCGGCTCAGTCACAGCCAACGAAGGGGCACCAGCATGAGCTCGAATTTTTAAAATGCAGGTGAACTAGAGCACTAACCAGAATGGGAGAAATTATGGAGGAAAGCCCTGCTGGAAACTTGATCTCCCTCAGAAAACAAGGACAGGCAGTGTGGTGCATAGCAACCAACTCTCGTGACCGGCTGAGTCAGAAACGGCGGTGGCCGTCTTAAAGATGGCAGCCAGCTATACTGCTTTGAATGTGTGTTGCGCTCCACAGTCGTGGCAGTAGTCCAGTCTCCCGCATCGGGATTCTGAGAGGCCTCTTCTGAGTCTCCCATGCCGGGGCTTTGACCTGTAATTTTTCCCATTCCAGTTACTGTTCTCCTTCACCCAGACTTTGGAAATTCAGGTCTGATCTGGTTTCACTTTGTTGGCTGTGCCTGAACAGGGTCAAGCCATTTTAAAGGCCTGAGTGTAAGGCAGGGCAGGTGGAAGCCGTGAGGAGGTATGGTTGGAGAGTGGGCCTGGAGCACTCAAGCCTGGGTGGGGCTTGTGCTTGGAGCTGGCTTGTACCCAGGAGAGTACTTTACAGGTGAGAAAGGGTCATATCTGACTGTGAGACAGCTCTTGTGCGGTGGTTGAAGCCAAGTGGCTGTGTGACTTTCAGTTGACTGCTTAGCCTCTCTGTGCTTACCCGCTTTTAGTAGTGTCTGTGAAATGGGGATAGAAGTAGTGCCATGCTCTCAGCTGTTCTGATGGTGAATAGATTGTGTAGTGGGACCTCAGCAAATGGTATGACATGGTGCCTGTGCTTGTGAGGAAGCCCTGGGGGCTCCACTGCTGTCCTCCTCTGCCAGACTTCCTGCACCTGTGCGGGCCTCTGACCACCATGCATGTCCCCCCAGGGGCTGAGGAGGTGCTCCTGCTGGCCCGGCGGACGGACCTGCGGAGGATCTCACTGGACACGCCGGACTTCACGGACATCGTGCTGGAGGTGGACGACATCCGGCATGCCATTGCCATCGACTATGACCCACTGGAGGGCTACGTCTACTGGACGGACGACGAGGTGCGGGCCATCCGTAGGGCCTACCTGGACGGCTCGGGTGCGCAGACGCTGGTCAGCACCGAGATCAACGACCCCGACGGCATTGCGGTCGACTGGGTGGCCCGCAACCTGTACTGGACTGACACGGGCACCGACCGCATCGAGGTGACCCGCCTCAACGGCACCTCTCGCAAGATCCTGGTGTCTGAGGACCTGGACGAGCCACGTGCCATCGTGCTGCACCCCGTGATGGGGTGAGGCTGGGCGCCAGGGGAACGGGAGCCTCCCGACGGGCTGGGACCGCATCTTAGTTCTCTAGCGCTGCTCTGACAGGCACATCACAAGGGGAGGCTTTCGTGGACAGAAATTTATTTTCTTACCGTTTAGGGGGCCGGGAGTCTGGACCCAGGTGCCAGCTCTGGGGAGGGCCCGCTCCCTCTGTCCACTCTGGGGGAGGGTCCTTGTCTCTTTCAGCTTGTTTTCCTCATTTCCGTGGTGATTACATGGGCCACCTTCCCCTCCATTTATGCTTTTTTGTTACTTCTTTGATCTGCTTTCTTATATCTCAGAGGGGATTGACTTAAAGCCAGGGTTTCAACCCAGTTCATTCTGCTTAGAGTTTGCATTTCCACCCCAGGTGGAGTGAATCAGGACCCACATTTTAACAAGCTCCCCAGGTGGCCCCAGGTGTATATGTAAGAATCACCTGAGGATCTGTAAGAATCATGATACACAGTGATTCTCTACCTCCTTGCGTCACCCCAGGAGGTAGGTACAGTGGAAGAAGCTGAAGCCCAGATAGGTTAAGTGATTGGTCCAGGGACACACAGCCCGGAGGTGGCTGAGCTGGTTAAGCTGAAGCCCAGATAGGTTAAGTGACCGGTCCAGGGACACACAGCCCGGAGGTGGCTGAGCTGGTTAAGCTGAAGCCCAGATAGGTTAAGTGACTGGTCCAGGGACATACAGCCCGGAGGTGGCTGAGGTGGTTAAGCTGAAGCCCAGATAGGTTAAGTGACCGGTCCAGGGACATACAGCCCGGAGGTGGCTGAGCTGATTAAGCTGAAGGCCAGATAGGTTAAGTGACCGGTCCAGGGACATACAGCCCGGAGGTAGCTGAGCTGGTTAAGCTGAAGGCCAGATAGGTTAAGTGACCGGTCCAGGGACATACAGCCCGGAGGTGGCTGAGCTGGTTAAGCTGAAGGCCAGATAGGTTAAGTGACCGGTCCAGAGACACACAGCCTGGAGGTGGCTGAGCTGGTTAAGCTCAAGCCCAGATAGGTTAAGTGACCGATCCAGGGACACACAGCTCAGAGGTGGCTGAGCTGGTTAAGCTGAAGCCCAGATAGGTTAAGTGACTGGTCGAGAGACACACAGCCTGGAGGTGGCTGAGCTGGTTAAGCTGAAGCCCAGATAGGTTAAGTGACCGATCCAGGGACACACAGCTCGGAGGTGGCTGAGCTAGTTAAGCTGAAGCCCAGATAGGTTAAGTGACTGGTCCAGGGACACACAGCCCGGAGGTGGCTGAGCTGGTTAAGCTGAAGGCCAGATAGGTTAAGTGACTGGTCCAGGGACACACAGCCCGGAGGTGGTTGAGCTGGTTCCAGCTTTCTGTGTTAGGATTCTCCTCTGTGTGATGGGGGAAGGCTAGGGGACCAGGGGCACTCCTCCCATGCTGGGGATACAGCAGTGAGTGAGGCCACAGAGCCCATTGTTGACCTCTGCTTCCTCTCCAGCCTCATGTACTGGACAGACTGGGGCGAAAACCCCAAAATCGAGCGCGCCAACCTTGACGGGCAGGAGCGGCACGTCCTGGTGAACACCTCCCTCGGGTGGCCCAACGGCCTGGCCCTGGACCTGCAGGAGGGCAAGCTCTACTGGGGAGACGCCAAGACGGACAAGATCGAGGTGAGGCATCTGTGGGTGTCTGTGGCTGAGGGCAGCATCAGTTCAGGGAACCGTTCGATGGAATTCGTGGGCCTGACACTGCGCGGCTGTCTGTGGGCTGCGCCGGGCTGCAGATCTGAGGGTTACAAAGTCTGAGGCACATGTCCGGTGGGTGTCAGCCTGATACCTGGGCATGTCAGCCTCCACTGCTTGGCCACATGGAATACTTGGACAAGTAATGTCTCGAGAGATTTCTGACAAAAAGTCATCAAGGTGGTGTGTGCTGGAGTTAACAGCTTCGCACTGGTCTGTCTCCTGGATTTGACAATGTACTGACTATGTTTGTGTCAGATGTTGTCCTTGGGGGAGGCTGCCCTGTTTTTACAATTTCTTGTAAGTCTTAAACTGTTTTGGATTTCAAAGTGGTGATAAGATACAAAAACTAATGTGTCCACCACCCCAGCGTATGATGAAGACATCACTGTCATCCAAGCCTCTTCTAAATTCGAGGATTTATTCCCAGGCATTTGAAAACGTTCTTTCCCACACGGAGGTAACCCTGAACACCCTGTGGTCTTAGCACGTGTTGATGGAATTTAAGAGGCAGTGTATTGGCTGTACTCTTTTGCTCACTTGTGGAGCCTTGTTAGTTGTTGTGGAGTTGACTTCGACACATGGTGACCTTATGCATAATGGGATGGAATGTCACCAGTCCTGAGCCACTGGTACGTCTGAGTTCATTTTTGCACGTGATGTGAGGTAGGGGCCCAGCTTCACACTTTGCATGTGGAGATCAGTCATTCCAACATGGTTCGGTGGCATTAGTTTATAAGTTGTCTTCAAGTTGCCTTCGACGTATGGTGACCTTACATGTAACACAAGGGAATGTCACTGGTCCTGAGTCAGCCTTACGGTCACTGGTGCGTCTGAGTTCATTTTTGTACATGGTGTGAGGTAGGGATTAGTCGTCCTGACACTGTTCGGTGTTGGAGTTGCTGTTGAGTTGATTGCAACTCATAGTGACCCCACGTGTGGTCTTCATTTTGGGTTTTGTGTCTGAGTATCATTATCTCATCAGAAAAGAGACCTTTTCCCCCTTAACATATACGTGGTTTCAGAGGTTGGCTATACTGTTTGGACTCATTTTGTTGTATCCTGGGCTCATATCTCTTCACCTGAAGTCAGTGGGAGTGTCAGGTTCAGTCTGAGGAAATGCCTGAATGACTTTCTGGGGCATGGCTGTGGGTGCCACCTTGAGAGCCCAGGTGAGAGGAGGGTCTTATTTCAGGGGTC